GGGGCGGCTGGGGAGCCGGTGCCGGAGAGGGGACCCTCCTGGCCCGCGGGCTGCCAGGGGGGGCCCGGGGGCGGCGGCGCTGAGCGGGGGATGCCCGGGGACCGACGGCGGCGGGAGCCCGGCAGCGAGCCCCGGGGCGGCGCCGGGAGGCTGCGGGGACGTGGGTTAGTTCTCCTACCACCCCTCTATTGTGCTTCCAACAATCAGACCCCAAAACAAACCCCACGCCGCTCACGAGAATAGGGAAGCGTATAACTGTCTGGGAAGGCGTTTGCTGGAAAAGGGGAGAGCCTTCCCTGCCTGTGGAAAAAGCGATTGGCGGGATATGTGTGTGTGTGTAAAACCTAAGGTTTTCGGTTTTAGCTGTTGTTTTGTTTTTATTTTCCGCTCCGGGTTGCAAGTTAAAGCAGCTCTCTCCCCGCAGCGTGGATGGTGAAAGTCTATAAGGTGGCACCAAACATCTCAGTAGCGTGGATGGTGTAATTGTCATGCTGTTAAGCATTTCCTTCTTGACGTGCACCTCTTTCAGCCGCTAATCTCCGAACGGGATGTCAAAGCAGATTCTGACATCTTTACAGAGCCTGTCCTGCAGGTAAGTAAAAAACGTGAAGCTGTGGAAGGAGCTTGCTTTTGGGCTGAAAATTAGACTTCCAGGTTTGGCTTCGAGTGGCAGAGCGGCTGGAGCAGCAGGATTACACTTGGCTGTGCAGTTTGGCATTATTATGACCTTGTTCAAACGCATTCTGATGTGCCATGAGGAAGGTATAAAATTAGATTAAAGCTCCCAGCAACTCATCAAATCCCGTTCAGAGCCCCGGCGCTGGTCTCGGGCTTGTTTAAATCACTGACACTTTAGAACAAAACCCTTTCACCCTTCAACTCTCCGGGCAGATTTTTTCTATTTGATTACATTAATAATTTAATTTATATTTCCTACCGGCTCTTCCAAGTGGGCAAATCAACCCCCTTCCAACACGGGTGGGGGCTGTTATTTTTAGCTCGCTCGCTGGAACAAAATGTTCCAACACTCCCTGCTTTGAATCTCATTGCGGTTTGACTACTCTTTGATATTTAAGACCGTCGGGTTTCCTTGTCAAACTACCTGTTATAGGAAATGGCTCCCTTAGCTTGGCAAATCACTCTCAACAAAGTAGACAGGAGCATTTGCCTAAGTAAAGACACGTTTCTAAAATGTTTCAGGGAAATACCCGAAATATTAAACCGGTAAGTCTACTGTAAGTGCGACCCTCGTGATGACCCTAGGTGTGCCTAGCTATCAAAATAAGTAAGAACTGATCAAATATTGCCATGCCTTCTCGCCCCTTTCATAAATACATTTTGTCGGCAGTCGCTGACCAGTTTTGGGGAGCTCCATATGCATTTCATAAACAGCACTAAAAATGCACGTCCGATTCAAATGTCATTTAAATAGTCTTGCTCCCCTTCCCAGCTGCAGTTCTGCAGCTACTGTTTCCGTAACAAAGTGCTTTAAAGTGCGTTTAAATCCGCTCCCCCTCCCCCTTCACCCCCCTTCCCCGCGTTGTCCGAGAGCTTCCAGCTGACACTACTACTGTGTCCATTTTTATAAAGTGTCCCTGTGCGTTGAGCTACAAGCTGTCCAACGTAGATGCAAATAGCTCTATGAAGGGACACAACAAATTAGGTGGGAAGGCGAAGGGAGAAATCCACTTCTGTCAAGTGATGCCTCCTAAAGAGTGAATTACAGTAATTTAGACTTTTAAAACTGGCGCCCTTAAGATTATAATGCCGTACGCATTTATGCGCGTTCACCTCGCATAGGTACAGCCTGAGGTGTAGAAATGATAACAGGAGTTTTAAACTTCACGGCTGTAGATTTGGAAAGTTCTCGTACCCCTTGCGCCTGGACGCCCGCGCGTATTAGCACAAACGCTGCATTGAATTAAGTGCCCGATCACTGCGACCCTTTTCACAGGATTTTCTGTTACCGCCGACAGTATCCTCATGTACGATGCCCTCCGTGGGCCAGCGACTGAACAAAGTAAAAATCAATAAAATAAGCGCAAACTAGTCTTCTTTGCACAGAAAGGTTGAAACGTGTGTAAGGGGGGCTGCTAGAAAAGATGAAAATCCGCGTTTTGCAGCTCCAAATCTCGGCAACAGAACACGATCATTACGCGCGAGAGAAAGGGGTAAAATCCTGCTCGTATCGTGATTATTGTTATGACAGGGAGCAATAACTGCTTTGTAATAAAAATAGTGTTTGTTATGAAGAAACTGACTGAGCAGCCATCCAGATAAGCATTCCCTGCGTCTACCAAGCCTGCCTTCGTGATGTTTTGTGCTCTGCTAAGCCCCCTGTCCTTTTCAATCGTTATTGTCTTTTTTTTTCTTGTAATTATGCACATTTTTTCCCACTTACCCTAGTTTCAACACTAACGCTCCGAAATTGCACAGAGAAATAAAAGAAAGGCTATTTTTTTTCCCCCTGTACGTGCGCATCGATAAATCCAATACCTATTCTTACTGTGCAGTAACCTTTCCGTGTGATTATATCGAGCCACTCAAACATTAGAATCTCTAATTCGTCTGCATTCGCGGTGCACCCAAGTTGCTTTCTCCTAGATCTTGAATAATAGCGACAAACTCTTTTTGACAGGTAGAGGAAAAACCTACAGAACCGGGGTGCTGTACCGGCGTTGCTTTCTCTTGGCACGGCCGGTTGATCCCCCCGCCGCAGCGCCCAGCCGGACCGGTGCGTTGAAAACGAGCGGACCCCTGGCTGGTGTGCGGGCAGGTGGCGAGGGGCAGACGGATGTGCGGAGGAGCCTCGGCGGGCGGGGAGAGAGGGGCAGGGGCGGCGGGTGTCCCCCCGCAGCCTCCCCCCAGCTCAGCGCCGCCAGCTCCGCTCCGACGGGCACCGGCCGCGGGCACCGGGCGCTTCTCGGCGGGGCAGCCCCGCAGCACGGCGTGCGCCCCCCCTGCAAACGCACCGGTGACGCCGCCGCGAAGAGACTAAAAGATAAAGTAAGAAGCCCCCCCCGAACACCAGGCGAAGACGGGGTTTGAGGAGGGGGAAGCGACGGGGCGTCTTTTGTTGGACGCTTCGCTTCGGCTCCGCGCCGTGTGTCTCGCCGGGTTACCGGGCTGAGAGCGGACGGGCTTTGCCGGGGCGACGGGCTGCCCCGCACCTCCTCGCCCTCGCCCCCCTCTCCCCGCCCCCCCC